TCATGTTCTTTTAATTATTTCTCACCACTCATGTTTTTAAGTGAAATTTTTTTATGGTATTTAAATAAAAATTTAAAATTTTTAAAATATGTAATTAAAGAAAAAAAAAATTAAAATGTTACTTAAAAATACATGTAATAACAAGTGAAATAGAGGTGAGGTAATGTATTGTGAACTCTTAAAAGTGGAGCAGATCAATCATTCCCTTCTCTTCTGTAAAATCTAAAAAAATTAAGCCCTTTGTTCTTTAAAACCATTTCTAACAAATTAGTTTCTTATTAAACTAGATGTGGCCTACATTCATTATCATTAAATCCATCCAGCACGTTCTTTTTTATATTATCACGTTAAGGATGATTGAAAGTAAAATCAACTTTAATTAATAACACTAATTAATATTTTAATGCACGATGCAAATGGATCACACATATTGGCGAACGTCTTTAATCCACTGTCAATACACATGAGTAAGCCATTAGGTATGCATGGCATTAAATAACTACTAATTAAGGCGAACACAACACAGAATAATATAAATTAAAGAAATTAAAGTCAACTAATTGATATCAAAATATTAATAATTGTTTGACAATATTTAAATTCTTTTTTCTTTTTTAATGTAGAGAACAAAGTAAGTGTTTGTAGTATAAATTTATAACAATTAAACACAATTGTACAATGCAAGTAAAACTTGAAGAAAACACGATGTATGAAGGAAGTGAAACCCACAATTTTAATGATGTGGATTGTGGAGCCTCAAATTTTCTAAATCTTTAATAAGTTTTCCTTTTTTTAGCTTAAAATTAATTCAAAATGTATGTCAATTTTCTATATTAAGGGCTTCTTTGATTTGAGATAAATAGAAGGGAAGACAAGTGGAGAGATGGAGAGATAAGTTAAAGGGATATATATATAAAAGGAGTGACAAATTAAATAAATAAAGGAGATAAAAATCTAAGGGTGTGTTTGATTCGCAAGGCACTTTTTTTTTCTTAAATTTTTAAATCTTTTTAGTAAAATTATTTAAGTATTTTTGTTTATTAATATTATGATAAAAAAAGGAGATAAAAATGATACTTTAAATTTTTATTTTTTTAATATAATTTTCAATTCGTAAACTTTTCTTTTTGTACTTTGTGAAAGAAAAAATTTTCTCTTTATTTTTCTCTATATAAGACTATTAGATAACTTTCTTATCAATTTTTTCTATTTAAAATTTTTACCAAAATATAAAATAGTTAACTATCTAATAAAATGTCACCATAAAATTTATTAGTTAATTTGCATATAATACTTTTCTAATTGTTTTGTCAATAAAAGCTTTTTTTTTACTACAGTTAGATGTTTTAAGAGATCGAAACCTTTACCTATACCAAAAATGACACTTTTTTTAAGGAAAAAATATATATAATTCAAACCACTTTAGAATATATAATAATACTCATTGGATGAGGAGCATGTTCTCCAATATTAGGATTTTTTTATTTAATTGTTTTTATAATTTTATAATTTAATATAATTTAAAGTAAAAGATAAAAATTTGTATTTATTTTGGTATTAACCTCTAATATCTGATAATCACATTAAATTTCGATTAATTTAAAATCGAATCGAAAAAATTTTTTCAACGTCTGTTTTTTTATTCACAAAATTCGAATTCGAAATTTTATTTAAGGTAAATCGAATTCCTTCTATTCAGATCAATAGATTGTTGGTAAAAAAAATATTTTTATTTAATAAAAGTAAGTATACATAATCAATTCCATCTTAAATTTGTCAAAAAAAAAAAAAATCCGTTTTAAAGGAATCAACAACAACGTAATCGGTTATGTCATTATTTGCGTGCTTCAGGCATTGCGTTATGTTTGCTTCCCAAACAAGGACTCGGATTTTAGCTGAGAGAAAAAAAAAAAAAAAAAATCCAAACAAGGACTGGGATTGGGATTTCCTTTTCTATCAAGGTAAGATTTTGATTGCATTCTAGAAAGTCCACGGGTCTGGCATTTCTAGAAATGCTTTAAACATATCCACTTAACGATCTGTTCGGATACTCAAAACATGATTTGTATCTTTCCCACCGAACTTAAGTAATCATGCGGTCCGTGCCAGACAACTGGCTGCCTGCC